AGATCTCAAACACAGATAGATACAAAAGCAACCAGGTTCACAAGCTCAAGCCACAGAGAAAATGAAGGAAAAAGAAAAGACAGATGTCACAGTCGCATTTCACCTATTGGCAGAACCATTCAACAAAATCAATGTGTCCATTGTGCAACAATAATGACAATCATAGAATATGGAGTTGCAGCCTATTTAAACATGTCAGTACATGAACGATGGAACACCGCAAGGAAGGAAGGATTGTGTTTTAAGTGTCTTGGTGGGCATCCAGCCAAAAATTGTGATAAAACAGGCACGTTTAAGATAGATGGGTGTAAAAGAAACCATAACACATTGTTGCACAATCAAGGTCAGACTGATGTGGTTCGAACAAGCACGGAAGGGGAGCAATTACAGAACCAAATACAGGCAGAGGAAACTGCACAACAGAACTACACACCCGTTACTATGGTCAATCCACAACAAGACAAGTACGTAGCATTACGATGCTTAGTGATTCTTAAGCACAATGATAAAGAACTTAAAGTGAATGCCTTATTGGATGATGGGAGCACCCAGACATACATAAATATGGATGTAGCAAGCGAATTAGGACTACATGGACAAATAAACAGAGTCAATGTAAGCACACTTAATGGCAGAGTAGAGATAATGGAAACTATGCCGGTAAAGTTTAACCTAAAAAGTCTTAATGGAAAGAAATAAAGCACCTGTCAACTGGAAGAAAGTGTCTGGAAACTAGGCCCATCTGCAAAACATAGAATTCCCAACAATCAATACCAAACCAGTAGTAGACGTTCTCATCGGAATAGATTATGCTGAATTTCATACAGCCATAAAAGAAGTGTGAGCCGATTGCACGACTCACACCGCTAAGATGGACAGCAGTGGGAAACACAGGAACTGATCGTAAGAATGGCAATGTGCACTTCATCAGAACTTTTCATTCACAACAAGATGAGTGCAGGGACCTTCTGAGAAAATTTTGGGAAATTAGAAATGTGCCAAGCAAGCAAAATGCCATGTTGACAGATGAAGAAAAACACGCAATGAATCTTGGGAAAAATCAATCACACAAAGAAATGGGAGGTACCAAGTGGCAATACCTTGGAAATGTAAACCGAAGTTGCCAAATAATTATAACATGGCATGTCAACGCCTGCAGAGTACTGAAAAACAACTACTGAAATGTAAAACCACAGGTGAAGCATACTCACAAGTAATAGAACAATATGTTGAGAAAGCGTATGTGAGAAAGGTAAAAAAGGGTGAGCCTAATGGGGAGCAGTATCTGCCTCATTTTGCGGTTGTGAAACCGGATAGAACTACAACGAAAACAAGGGTAGTATTTGATACATCAGCAAAACTGGAAGACGTATGTCTAAACGATTTGATTTATCAAGGGCCTAAACTACAACACGAGGTCTTTGATTTGCTAATTAGGTTTAGATATCGCCCAGTGGCAATTGTGTGGGACATCGCTGAAATGTATCTCAGGATTAACATGGAGAAAAAAGATTGACCATTCTTCAGATTCTTGTGGAGAGACCTAGAGACAAATCAACAACCACAAGAGTATAAGTTCAACAGTGTAGTGTTTGGTGTAAATGCATCGCCATTTTTGGCTCAATATGTATCACAACAAAAGAAGTAAACGTTGAGAATGACAGTTTGCCGTCGGACAAGACATTGGGCATAACTTGGATAGCTGAGGAGGATAACTTCGTCATAACATCTTCACCATGGCCTGGGAAATTGGAGGTTACAAAAAGAACTATATTAAAGAAGATTGCAACCATATTTGATCCATTGGGTTTTATAACAGAGTCTACAGTTCTCTGTACCCCACAGTCTAATGCAATATTCCAAGGATAACTCGTGTGTAGCTGATAAGGGAACCAAGGCCTCAGCGCGAAGGATTAAAATTGCAAGTTGTTTGACTCAAGGCCTATTTTTCATCTAAATCTGCTCGTTTTATTTCCCATGACGAAGGACTCATTGCCGTTAGACAATTTCTTGAGAAATTTCATCCCCAGCCTAACACAGACAACATCGTATCTATCATCAAATTTATACTTGCACACAATAACTTTCATTTTAACAATAAATACTTTCGCCAACTTAGGGGTTCTGCTATGGGCACTAAAATGGCCACATAATATGCTAACGTGTTCATGGCCTAGAGAATGAGTTCATTTTAGCCTCAAAATTGAAACCGCTATATTTTGCTCGATATATCGATGATGTTTTCTTTTATCTGGCCTCATGGAGAAGATTCTCTTAAATGCTTTATATCCGATTTTAACAATACCCACAACAGTATTGTTATTTGAAATTTGTTGTTTGCCGAATAAGATTACTTATTATTTAATCATTCTAATTAGTTGTTATTTCAATTCGCCATTTAAACCTTCAAGACAAAATATGTAATATATAACATAATTTCTTTTTCTCACATCAGTCTACAAATCATCGCAAATACGGGAAAAATAAGTCAGTCCTGGCCTGGTAGTGATGGATGATACATGGAATTGTGGTTTGGCGCAGCGGGAACGGTTTGGTTTGTCAACCTTGAGGTCGATATTTCAATCCTTAGCTGTGCATTTCTCTTGTGCATTGCTTTTCTCCACCTACCCGGTAGGATGATGTGGTATTGAATTTATTAGCCTGAAGGAGGTTGTACTTTGTGCTGGTTTAACTATGGATCCAATAACCAAGGGTAATAATAACAACATCGCAAGCGCCTTATATCTCTTGCCAAAAGGCGCGTAATAGATCCCGTCATCTTCATTGAATTATGGACGGAAAGACGATAATATGTATACATAGGCCTACTGATGATAGCTTAATTAAGATTTGGGTTAGATTGCCTTACCTAGGAAAGGCAGGTGAATCTATTTTACGTAGATGCTTAAACAAAGTAAAAAACACTTAGTTAAAGAGGTAAAATTCATAACATTATGGCAGTACAAAAATGTCTCTCATTTTATATCTACTGAAGATCAAACCCCTAAGGATTATGGGAGCTCTGTTGTTTATCATTTTAAATGTCCAGGTTGTAATAGTGATTATATTGCTAAGACAGATAGATGCTTAATAATATACTTAGAGAACATTCTTCGCGATCTGGTAGTGTTATAAATGATCATATACAAAATTGCGAGGCATTCCAATATGTTTTAGGTTTAAAAGGTATACTTGAAAAATGATAATCTAGCTTGTAATGTAAGTAATAAAATCCTTGAAAATCTTGTCTTCCATTTTGACGGTCACATTATTAGACACTCACCAACTATCAGAAATCTTGGGGTTGTTTTCGACCATGAAATGAATATGACTGCTCATATAACACACCTTTCTCGGTCCATAAATTAGCAGATTTGTTGTTTGTCCCGCATCCGCAAATTTCTTGATTTTGAAACCTGTCATCCTGTTCCGCATATTAGTTCTGACATTTAATACACTGCAGTCCTCCAATCCTAGTTATAGCTCCTGCCTGTTGATTTTCTTAACCTCTACCTATTCTCTCCGTTCTGTTTCCGGTTCCTGTCTATCTGTTCCCAAATCCAACAAACTTGCTGGTGATAAATCTTTCTCTTCCTCTGCTCCAAAACTGTGGAATAATCTTCCTATTTCTATCCGAAATGCTTATAGTACTGAAGTCTTCAAAAAAACTCTTAAAAGCTCACTTATTTCCTAAATAGTCCTCTTCCTACAATAAACCTTTTTCTAAGCGCCTTGTATCCTTTGGCAAAAGGCGCTATATAAATTTCTATATTATCATTATTATTATAAATTAGGTTTATAATTTCTAATAACATTATTGAGAGTTCGCAAAATTGGTCTATACTATTGTTTAAAGAAGCGTTTGCTATACGTAAGCTACACCCATTGCTTAACAATGGGCTGAAAGCTTCAAAAGAGCTTTCTTTGTTTTTGTAGGTAGCTTTGATCAGTAGGGTAAGGATGCTTTGATCTTTAGTTTATTTCTACTAGGGGTAATGTTTTGATTGGTCAATCACTTTTGGTACTTGTGCATAAAAGCTTTGAAATATGGATAATTTTTCATTCCTGATGATGAAATAATTAATGTCGAAATATTGAATTCCGACACGATGGCGTGCATTTCGATACTTGGAGTATGTATTAAACTATCTTATCTGAGATTAATCAGTGGACCTTTCGAAAGACATGTTCGTGAGGGGTATTTTTTATGTAGAAAGGAGACGACCAACAACTTCTTCTGATCTTTTTTTACATGGCCATATAGTGAGTCAAACCATAGGAATCTCATGTGTGACTGCGTAAACAACGTAAAACGTGCTTTAAAAAGCTATAGATCCATAACAGAAATAAAGTCATTATTTTTCCCTCAATTAAGCTGAAATATAGAATTATATTCACTTCGTTAGATGGAGACTTTGATGATCTATGTTGTTACAGTTTTTTTCAGACCGGTTGGTTTCGAATCCTAGACGTATCTGACGACTGGGTTACCACTGTGCTTGTAGGCTTTGAAATAAGCATAATTATAATATAGATTATTATTAGTAGTATTAATATTTTGTTATTATTTTATTATTATTATTAGTGGCCAATTATTATTTTTATCCCAAATGAAGTCAGATGAAATAATAATACCAATGTATTTAAATGATTCCAAATTATAATACTCTCAAAAACTATGAAATACTCAATTGCATTATTTGATGTTTGCTAGATCTTAATAATCATCAGATCTTATACTGATGAAGCTTCTTAAAATTTGATAGCGGATAGGGTCAAATGCCTTGCTAAAATCGAGGTATATAGCATCGATTAGAGGAAGGCATCTGACATCAAAATCCCAGACCAGTGATACGCTGCTGCAAAAGTACACTCTGAGATGATAGTAGGCATGTGACATTACGAAAAACTATTATTTTTTTTAAGATCCACTGGATATAACATTCTATACTAAATCACCTTACGATCCAAATGTTCGTGGATACACGCTTAAATACAGCATGACAACAGACTTATCATTAGGTATACTGTACAAGGATGACAAAGACAATGTAACCTGGGCTGATACTGGATGGGGTAGCAACGACACAGAATTGAAGGTACTAACAAGGGACATGCCAGATAATAGAATATTTCACACAGCAAGTGAAATGGCATACATGATACTTGATAACTATTTTGTGTTTCTCGCTGTTACAAATTTGCCAAGCTCTGAGAGTGTCGGTGTGTTTTCATTTGAAGCTACTAAATCTAGAGTGGTATCTAGGTCGGCTATTGTTGTGACGTCGTCATTAGGTAAGTACAGAACGACCCTTATCATTTTAAAGCTTTATTTATATCAATATTTTATTTATTACCTCCGCCAACGAAGTTGGTAGGAGGTTATGTTTTCGCCTGGTTTTATATTTAGCTATTTATTTGTCTGTCGGCATATTTGTTGTGAACAGCCTATAGCCCATATTTTTTTTTATCAGAAATTCATCAAAATTGGCCACAATGTTCCCTTACCTAAGATCTAGAGCTGATTAAATTTTGAAGGGTCAGGGTCAAGGGTTAAGGTCACAATAAACGAAAAACTTGTTTTAATTTATTTGTCTACAGCCCATGATACTTTTGATTACAAACTTGTCAAACTTTGTCACAATGTTCCATGACCAAAGATCTCAAAGCACTTGAAGGGTAAGGGTTAAAGATCAAGGTCACAATTAACAAAAAAAAAACCCGATTTTTTTAAACAGTTTTATCAGAAATTTGTCAAACTTGTTCCTTTACCAAAAATTTGGAAGTAACTAATTTTGAAGGGTCAGGGTCAAAGGTCAAGGACACAATGATCGAAAATAACTGTTTGCCGTATAGACTTGCCACAAGTCTCTAATTTATGGATTTTTCGTAGTACATTAGCGCATTTCGGAAAGCGCCACCAGCGTCAGTTTATGTTGAGAAACTTTTTTGATGAGAATTAATCCTAGAAAAAGTATACTATGGAACGCCATGCAAATAAGGAATATGGAACGCCATTTGTACCAAAATCGATTTATTCTTAAGCATTTCAACTGATTAAGATTAAGGACTGAAACCCAGTCTATTTGCCGTATAGACGTGTGTGACGTGTGCTAATACGGGCTTGCCGGTAAAGTGTAAACAAACATGTGACCATTCAAACTGATAGATGTGAAAACAGTGTGGTGTAGTGGTTAGAAGAGTGTTTTCCACACTATCAGCCCTGGGTTCAAATCCCAAGGAGTCTGCTTGTTTTTTGGGGTTTTTTTTTTCTCATTATTCCTTTTTTATGGGGACAACATGCGGGGAAATTGATACTGAGGAGAATTATATTGTGAGCGGAGGTATGCACTCTCCGAGTACCATCTAGTTTGTTTGAATAGCGTTAGTAATAGTGATGGCATTGCCAATGATGTTCCATTGACTTACGGGGGGGGGGGGGAATGGGGTGTAGTGTTATTTTTTATTGCTATTTTGTTTTATTATGAATGTTTTCTTTATTATATAATAGGCATTTTTCGTTTTGAGTACGCGGCAAGTCTACTACGAACTAATAGAGCGTAACAGACATCTGCGCATGCTCACAAACCTTACTGGCTAAATCGGCGTTGTGACAGCTTCCGCGACTACCCCAATTTCTGAATTTGGCGTAGTGGCGACTACCCTAATATAGTCAGATCACCGGATTGTTTGGCAAACTGCTGGTAACTTTTTTGTTGGGGGTTGCAATTTTCATCGCATCCGCGATCGAGCATTGTTCGTTCAATAATGAATTAATTATTAAAACAAGTGAGTAATTAGATGTTTTATGAAGGCCTATATTATTTATATACATACAATAAATGAGGAATGAATATCACAACATATAATTAGGTAAATCAGTGAATAGTGAAAAAGGGGCCTCTTAGGCCTAGGCTAGCCTAGCCTTGTCAGGGTGGATTTCGGGTAGGAGAAAACACATTATCTGGTGCCGCTAGCTAGGGCATCTGCGCCCACTGATGGTGTCGTGGATCAAAGCCTTGCTATATAAATACCTCCGTTTTAAATTGTTATGTACATTTATTTTTACATCAGCGTTTCATTTGGCAAATTGCCTGAGCAGGCCTGACACCCGTCTTCTCCCGGTCCCCGACTCTTTTGACACCTAGGCTAGGCCTAGCCTGTAGGCCTAGGATACTAGCCAACAGCGAAACATCACTCAGTGTTTTCTGGAAACTTTTTATTTTGTATTTGTCTAAAGTTTTTATTCACATTTCTTTTTTCAAATATAAAACAAGGGAACATCGTTCCCTGGTAATAAAACCATGGTCGACTAACTCCTCTCCGTAGGCCTACGTACGTGTGCTGCGTCGTCGTAGTCGCCTTAAAAAAACGAAAACAGCTCTTGGTGTTGTACGCCAGTGTCTTGGCGTTGCTGTCACGGTCCATTAGTTCGTAGTAGACTGGCCGCGTAGTCAAAACGAAAAATGCCTAATATAAGCATAAGCCATTTGAATGTATTTTTTCACAGCCAACATTAAAATGCAGTTTAGAACATTGACTGTCGGCATTGGAGAATCCATCTCAATCAATCTGAGTGAAGACGGCGGTTATAACAATTTACGCTGGAGACATAATTATGGTGAGGCAAATAAAGAATGGAACGGCGGTTCGTCCGTTACGATTGCAAGTATACGCGCTAAAGATGATGGGGTATACGAATGTTATAGAGGTGACAGTCCAGATAACAACCGTGGAGTAATGAGACTTATTGTTAGAGGTAAGTAGGTATGTTAACACTTTCATATTGGTCTAATTATTATTTCCCAATCAACAGACGGTTTATGAATAATAAATTGGATAATTTGTATAGCGCCTGTTAGAAAAAAGTAATTGTCACCGGCGCTTAAAGATAAAGAATTATTTATAAAGGACGCAAATTAATGACTCAAAAGATGCTCCTCTAGCATAACCCTTTAATGCTTGTTTGATCACTCGCAAACTCGATTTGGTAACTGTAAACAACAATTACATGACATGTCATTAACCATTTTAACTATCTTCATGGAACATAATTACATTCATATAGGTAGATTACCATACGAGATATTAAAACGTCATATGAGTTCTGAATTTAATTGTAATCATACTATAAGATTAAGAATTGTACTTCTGAGAAATTATTGAACTTACAAAGCTGTGAGCCACGATAACTACTATGCTATTGTATAGTGAAATTCAGCATTATCTTCACCTATGAACAAATACATAAAACGTTCTAATATAAAGATAACACAACTATAAAAACTAAACATGATATTCTCCAAAGAGCTCGTAAACGAACAACGAAAAAGTAAACTATGGAACGCGCAAGGAGCAACAAGAACTGCGGACAGCATATTATTCATTAAAGAGATAGGTTTTAAGGAGGGTCTTGAATGGACTATGAGTATCAGAAGTTGATTAAAGTTAAGGTGGAAGGAGTTCCATAATTCCTTAGCAGAAAGAAGTGCGTTCGACAGTACGAACATGCAGCATTCTAGGAACAGATAACCTGAGAGAGTTTGACTATCTTGTGGAACGTAGAGATAATTGTTGTGAGATTGATGAAGAAAGATGATATGGAGCGTGTCCATGTAAGCATTTATGAGTGAGTAGAATCATTTTGAAATTTATACGTTTACTTATCGGTAGCCAATTAAGTTCTTTCAGAATAAGTGAAATATATGATCTCGAAGTTTAGTGAGACAGACAATGTGCTGCTGAGTTCTGAAGCTTTTGTAAGGGTCTTAAGTGGATAGAAGAAGTAGAGAGTTACAGAAATCAATTTTAGATGTGATAAAAATATGTACGAGAGATTCAGCAGCGGGACATGAAATGTATGGACAAATAGATCAAATTCGGCAAAGGTGGAAATAACCAGATTTACAGACAGCTGAAATATGGTTCTGAAAGGGAAAAGTGACTGTCGAACAAATGGAAACAGAGAAATAATAATTATTGCAATAATATGAAATGTATTGTTCCATAAAAATTCAATTAGGAAACTTATTTCCTTAGTTTCTTAATGAACTTGATGAACTTGAACTTTTAACACCTCTTCGCCAAATATTTTTCTGATTTCTCCGTCTGGCTATCTTTATACCTATGCCTGTACATAATTTCTCGCGAGTTGAGGGGATGCTTATGGAACTTGAGTGGGGTGTCTACGGAAACATAGAATTTCAAGGTGCACTTTTTGAATGATATCAATATTATTCACAGTATCCTATGAACGAAGCCTAAATTAAGTAACCATGTATAGTCAACATAAATGACATACAATCAAAATATTAATTAAAGTCAGTGATGTAATGTTATGCAAACGGGGCGCTTATTCGCACGAGTCCGGTATTTTATTTAACTTCTGAGCTTAGTAAGTAAATGGGCGAATTTTGCCTATAGACCATTTATCGGGATTATTTTTTAAACAACGCCGCCAACGTCTCACAACTCACTGGGGGGACATATATATATACTGTCTCTTATACACATCTAGATGTGTATAAGAGACAGCATCTGCGCATGCTCATAAACCTTACTGACTAAATCTGCGTTGTGATAGCTCTCGCGACTACCCCAAATTCTGAATTTAGCGTTGTGGCGACTACCCTACTATCGACCAATCAGATCACTGGATTGTTTGGCCAAAACGGCTGGTGATCTTTTGCGAATGTGTTTACGAATACGTGTTATCGAATGGTGACGTTCGTTCGTTCATCATTAAAACAAGTAAGTAATTAAGGATTTTAAGGCGACATATTAAATAAAAAACATATAAT